ACCGGTTAAGTTAAGGTCAACTGTTTTATTCGCACGCTTTATTCACTGTATGGGTTTCAACAGTATAACGTGTTTACCATTTTACAACATTCGGATATACTTGAGTAAACTGCTTTTTGGATTACATTTATATTATAATGGCAGAATCAAGTAGGACAGTTATAATATGTGTTGATGGCAGTGAACATTCTAATTCTGCTTATGATAGTAAGTAACAATATGTATCACTTGAAACATAATGTAAAATATGTTGACAAAATGAATTTCGTCCTTGCTTATTTCTGTTTACGTGTCATTTGTAAATATACGAATTCATTGATCATTTCTTAGGCTTAAATATGCTTAACAAATCACTCGTTGTTTATATCTTCATAGTAGATACAATATTGATTATATCGCTCATTAACGGTTGACTGATTTCTTTTAGAGTAAAATAGTTTAATATAGCTAAAATATTCAAGCAGGTTAGTAAACAAAATAATAACAAACGTCTGAATCACACATACATGTGTATTGATTCAATAGCGAAAATACCAATAATTTTCCATTTGTATACTCCCATTGCGATTAATTTTATTTTGTGTTTAGTTTTTCATTCCTTTGATATTAAATGCTTTGCGCAACAGTTTGTTTATATATGATTTTTTAAGATAAGAGTGGGATGTTGCATAGTGCATGTTAGATAAGAACAGATAAGCTAATGCATAAGATTTATATAAAGTTTTTGTCAGCATACATTTAGGACAAACAGAAGTTCACATGTTTTATGTTCTACAATCACGCAGTAAGTTGAATATAGAATTACACTGGACAGTACCATTAATAAAAGCTTTGCAAGTGTAAACCTTACTTGACATTAATGTTTTATTTAGATAAATTAAGCATTAATTATAAATAACCAGCATAATTGTAAAAAAAATGATATAATACGAATAGGCATGTCAACATTAATTTTGTTTATTTTACAAGCCATGGTCTTAAAGGTTTGGTAACTGTATTTATGTAGTTCCTTACTTACGAAGTTCAATCTAATAACTTTAAAAATATGTTCATTGCAATATTCAATATTAATTGCCAATAAATATGTTCAAACGGTCAAATTACTCTACGATAAAAATCTGTTATTTATTATCCCAATCCAATTTTCCATGTATGAATTCTGCCATGGGACAAATAATCCTATATCTGATGGCATTTGCCGTCCTATTTTCTTCTCTAAATGGATTCATGGTGACAGTTTGGACATTAGAAGAAACGTGTGTGCTAATTAATCTTTGCAGACATCAGATTTAATAAAATCCTCCACTTTTCGGCCACACATTACTTTGCTCAATAGTTGGATGCGGTATACGTGGATAAATATGAATGCACCATTTTATGTTTTCATGCGTGTTATTGAGGAAAACATAATTATACATGTCATGTGATAAAATATAAAGGAAATAAGATTAGAATAAGATGAAAATGTATTTGTATTTATTGTGTCTATATTGATATAAGAACGGTAGAACAAACTAATAGATAATACCTACATGTACATGTGCATGACTGTTACTTATTATTGTATAATTCATTTACACATATGGATATTAAAAACCATATTATATGTGTACATGCATGTTAACTTTAAAAAAAACATCATAATCACTTTCTCCTAGTGTGTTATATTAAATGTTAAATTACTTATTGTATCATTGTTTTGGGAACTTTCTGTTTAAATGTGCTAGAGTTAAATCGTATACATATACATGTACAGTGCGTAGACTGGAGTACAGGTATAAGTTACCTGCACTCCAGAGCATACCCATTTATTGGCTCATTTTTTTCTGGGGTTTACTTATTGTGACGGCAGAGAAAGAAATAACGATAGAAGTATCATATTCAGATGCCCGTTCAGTGGTTATTACTTTTTTCTGGGTTTCATATTGTGACAACAGGATACGTGTTTTTTTTGCCTATGATACAAAGGAGAAAGAACATAAAAGCACTCGGTAATCTGATTTATACTCGGGGGCTACCTCCCCTCGTACAAATCATATATCCTCGTTTTTGACGTTCTTTCTATTACTTGTTTCACTGTGTCACGTACTTTTACTGTGTCGTAAAATTGAAATGCTACAGCGGCCATCTCAGATAGGAAATGTTTGTATCAAACAAAAAGTAACATTTTAATCGGTGCTAGAAATATTTTACGTATAAATAATCTTTAATCTTTATAATTGTATACCTTAACTCTACATCATCAGGAAAATGACAATAGGTTTAACATATTGACATTGATTTGTCTGCTTATTTCTTCTTCATTTGTACTTAATCAGCTAAAGTCAACATGAAGACGGCAATTCTACTCAAGCTCTTTTTAAGGGTCATTTTGTACGTAAATAAATCAAGAAATTTCACAATGGGAATGATGTTATAGCTTTCACACCATGAAATATAAATTACATGTTACTATGATTGATTGTCTGATGATTCTTGGGAAATTTCTCGATGTTTGATGACTTGTGAAAAATTACTCGATGTTTGATGATTTGTAAGAAATTACTCGTTACGAGCATTTCAATAATTTAAGTTATCAAACATTTTACTTATGGTGATACGAAAAAAAGCATAAACTGAAATAACATAGCGGAACGTTTCACTTAGACAGATTTAGTCAAGAATGATTATGATATTCTCCGCGAAACAAAAGCTAAAGTACAACTCCCCCCGCCTCCGAATTAATATACTATTCTTTATGTTTCATGACAAATAACATTCTTTAAAGCGACATGTGTACTTTATACCAGATTAATGTAATGATATTTGTTTGTATAATTACTTCAATGGCTTGGTGATGGCTTGGATGATACTAATATTGTCGTGGTTGGTTGAACCGTGTTTTCAAAAACTTAATGTTATAAATGTGTACAAAATGAATTATACAATTAGCTCATCCCTGGTTCATTAACTTATATCTTTTAATATTATCGTCTCATTGATACATGTTAGAATTTCTTGGAACATCGTTTGCAATAAATTTTCCTGAAAAAGCATTTCGACGGATAAGCTCGATTATTTTAAAATATTAACGAAAAAGACAAGTCGTGATTAGATTTTGATTTATCTTATTGTTCAGAAGTATCAAGCCCAATGCAAAAACGTTTCTGTCTGGAATTTTGTCTCGCATTGGTAACATGTTTAAAAGGATCGTGTAGCGTATAAATAAAGTCTATTTCTGAACCAAAGTGACACATTAATATGTCACGACATTTCTTGTTTTCCTTAATAACCCTTCTTATTTAAACGTCTCTATGGAGAATATGTCGATTTGAATTTGTCAAGGATCGAAGTCGTTCGTAAATATGAGACAAACATAAGTAATTTGTTTTCTTTTCGTTTAAATAGAAACGTACAGCTTTGACATTTAAGAAATTTTAACATTATGTTTCCAATCCTCTCATACTTGAAGTGTATAAAAGTTTTCATTTAATTCACAGTGACTGCAAAATCTTTGACTTTTTTGTATGTTAGATGCATTCATTTGATATATTTTATATAAATACAGCTGCGTGATTACGGTAACAACTCGTAAGTTTAGAAACCAATAAACTGCTGTGAGTTAATGCATTATTCGTCTTAGACATGTGATTAAACATTTAAATTGATTGCTCAAATGATTAAACAAAAGTTTCTTACTAATAAGCTTTTAATTTGTTTTTATGCTCATACTCATTTGAACAGTGTTAAGGGTTTTAACTTTCAATTCAGGCAAATGTTCTTTCACTCTTATTCAAATATTTTTAACGGAATTGCGTATCAACTTCAATGATTTACACAAAAATACATTTTTCTTGTCTTGTTGAATTGCGTTTTATATATAATACAGCATATATAATGTATCTGGAATACATTCAATAGTTGTTTTGAATGTTTTCAGTTTGATACACAACAATAGTTATGTATACATTCAAGTACATACATTGTTTAAATTATTTTTATTTTTTTACATCCCGAGTTATATTATGTATATACGTACATGTGCATTTTCACAACTGAACATGGCAAGAATCTCTTCCATCGGAAAATACTTGACTTTTTGACTTTCAATGCGCGTATGTGAATATTGCTAGCGCTATATTCGCACAAGGAATAATGTGCAAGTTCATTAATCAAATTAATTTAAATGATGAATGAGAGTTGTAACAGACTTCCCTGCTAGCTGTTATACTAAGCAGTTTCTAATTTAAATATTGGGAATGCTATTGATTGTTGCCAAATTTGTCTGGCAGTTCTAATAAGTCTTGCAGATTTAATCGCAAGTAAGACATATCCGCAATCTCACCAGGTCAAAAATAAACTGCTGAAAGCAGGCAACGTATTTTGTTGTAGCATTCATTAGTTAGGGAATTTAGCCGATATTAAAAACAACTTTTTTTCGAACAATATGTCTATGTTTTGTGTATTAAGGTCTAACTTAAAGATATGGTTACTTCAGGTGAAATATTAACAATAGTGAAGAAATAGATAAAAAGATGAAATAATCATACTAATTTAAGAACTATAAACGTAAAAAGTAAGAATAGTTTTAAATTTCTATAATTTGTCTTGCATATGAATTATAATGATATAATTAGTATCACCCAGGTTTAAAATCATTTGATTTAGACATTATTCACTTCTCAAATATGTTCATGCCCGGAGATATTCAATTATTAATAAACTAAATGTTGAGCACATAAAATATTTCTATTTTAGTTGATATTTTCTCAAAACCAAACATGATTATTTACAAATGACAATAAAATGCATCATATAATAATTGATCATATACCCGTGTCGCTTTTGAATGCAATATGAAATAAGTTATTTCGTACAGAATGTTTTTCTGCATCAATATTTACTTCACTAATTGAATGTAAAATTAGTTCAATATTTTAGGGAAGTAAACAAAATAAGGACTGTAGTACAAATCGTATAAGATTGACATATTTAAAAAAATGATTTTAATCTATTTCCAGGGTACGTGAAGAACTTTCACAGACCAGAGAACAAAGTGATAGCTGTACATTGCCCGGAAACTTTCACAAATGTCACAATGATGAGTGAGTAATATTATCTTCAGTAAAGTTTTCAAAAGAAAGTGTATGTGTGTTTGCATAAAAATCATCTACTGTTGCGTATGAGCACAAACCAAATACGACTTTATTAAAAGGGCGTCAAGTAACAGAGTCAATGGTCAATAGAACTATGAATGTTCGTTTGAAGCTTGCGTATCAAAGAGCGTATTTGTGTTTTAATGCATTTGCTTCTTTTATTGGGGAGAATACTTTTTCGTAAGGCATTATTGCATATTGATGGTATTACAGATTAATAATAATAACGTGTTAGACATAACCCAAAATTTATATCTCGTTTGTTCAATTTTATTGACAACTAAATTTGTTGGGGAGGGGGTTGCCATAAAACGACAGAAAACATTTAAAGATTTATTATTTGATGATGTCTGTTTCAACAGATGTTTTTATATGAAAATATTATAAAATATTTACAGTATTTGTAAAAATATTTACAGTATTTGTATACTGATATATTTTATAACAATAGTTCAACGTGTCGAATGACTTTGCGCCTGAAGTCACCTTGGTATTGTTGCTTCCTCATGACGATCTGCTACAGACAGACCATAGATGTCATGAAGTTCGCTCTCCACTGCTGGTTCAAATACTGTATTTTGAGATGTTGACAGTAACCGGAATAATATGCCGTTAGTACCGGGACAGAATGCAAAAAACAATTTATTTGCCAGTTTATGTATTCAGTCTGACTAAATGTACACATATTTGCTAAGAGACTAGTATGTTTTGCTACCAATGATACATTTTTGGAATTTGGAATTTGCAGGTCCTGGACGAGTCAGCGAGCTGATAAAGGAGTGCAATGAAAAACTAGATTCACTGAAAACCAAGTTCGTGTCCAGAATGACAGATTCCGGCGTACGTTAAAATCTCATTTTAATCAAAAAGTTCATTTCTCAATAATTCATTTTGTTAACGTAATAAAATAAACTTACACGGTGTAAATTTTGTCTTTTTTATTTAAAGACGAAAAAAGAATGAAACTTTATTATTTACATCTTCAACTGCAACATTAGAATCGAACCATCATTCTTGTCAATTTTGCAGTTTTCGGATTTTCTCTATATCATATTCATGCAATGCCGTTTTAAGAAGGTCTTTATAAGCTGCGGTTATTGATAATTATATTTCATTAAAATATGTTTTTACGTTCAGACCTAAATAGTATTTTATTATTTGAAATATTTTAGATGAATGGTGAATTTAAAGCCATTGGTTTAGAGGGCGATATGAAGCCAGGACAAGCCATTGTAGATTTTGCAGAAAAGTCAAAGGCCTGCTTTATAGTCACCGGGACCAGGGGTATGGGCAAATTCCGGCGGACTGTAATGGGAAGCGTTAGCGACTACATTGTACATCATTCACCATGTCCAGTCCTCGTGTGTAGGCAAAAGGACCAAAAAGAACAGAAAGAAAAGGAGAAAGAAAAGGAGAAATAATCAATAATATATATATATTTATAGAAATAAGTACTGAAAACGACCAAATTTACAATAGTTCGAAAATGTTTCTTATCGTTGTGTAATAAGGGAATTCGTCTTTTGTCTGAAACAATGTTTGGCTTACATTTTGTCGCTTAGCATAATGTTAATCAGTATATAAACAGTAAGCCTGGTTACATATCAAAACAAGTGGTAAAACACCAATTACATAGTCATAGAATGGAAAATAAATACACGATGCGCATTATTGATATTGAATGGGTCTGGTTTTGTGGTGCAATGTTTACAATCATAGTGTTGTTAAAATGTTAAATATAAATGGACTGAATTTATTTAGTATAGCAGTAAACTGTAGGACAAATAGTTTATTAACCAAACAAAAGGAACAACTCGAAATCTCCGCATGCTCATGAGAGTCATATATCATATAGTGTTGTTAAATTGTACGCAGTATGTATGTAAATCGTTGTAAATATCGTGATTAAATGGTAGAAAATTATTATATCTTTATAATATCGCATTAACGAAAGTGCGGCATCTCCCATTTTATTCTGAAATAAGTGTTTGCAATTCCAAAGTCAGATACTTTTTGAAAACCGGATATCTCTCGACTTCTGTGAACTATAGCAGACCCTGTTTGATTGATAATTAGTTTGAACATAAAATTTAGCTTGATAGAGAAAAAAGCTTATTTCCACGAGAAATACTCTCCAGTCTGTTTCACTGATGTCGTCCAAAAGGGGTCGAACACACAACTGCTGCATTGAGAAGCAGACATCTGTACCGCAGTACTACCCCTATTTGTACTCTAGATAGTCGAAAGTGTTGTATCTCTTATGCAATAGCTGGTGGGGGCAGGAGACATTTTAAAAAAGTAATACACTATTTTACTGAATAAAATAAAGTGGGCAACATTGTCGCAATATACGCCCGTCACAGAAGCTTTTAAGAGAGATGAGGGCATTATAAATATGCATATTGCTCTGGGCAATATTTGTAAAATATCTGGATATATTATCTTCTCTAGTGTTATTTATCTGAACTTTGACCCCTATGTGTGACCTTGACATTAGCCGCAGGGACCTAAATTTTGCGCGCGACAATTGCCTCACAATAGTGAACTTTTGTTCAATTAGTTATATTGAAATCCCTCAATGCATGAAGAAGTTTTGCTCCAAACAAGCGATTTTCATTGCTGAACTTTGACCTTGACCTTTGCCTCAGGGACATAAATTTTGCGCGCAACACTTCGCCTAACAATAGTGAACATTTGTGGCAAGTTATATTGAAATCCCTTTATGCATGTAGAAGTTTTGCTTCGGTCATGCATTTTTCTATGACCTCAAATTGTGACCTTGACCTTTGACTTAGAGGCCTGGTTCATGCGTGCGACACGGCTTATCATAGGGATGAACATTTTCATTTTTAGTGACCTTGACAATCATCTTTAGTGATCTTGACCTTGCATATGTTAATCTCACACACCAGAAGTCATGATAATAACCATTTTTTGTTCAATCCCTCAATAAATTAGGACTAAATAGTCCCAATACACATTTTCATAATTTTATCTGAAATTTGACCTTGGCCTCAGGGACATAGAGGCCTGGTTCATGCGCGCGACACGGCTTCTCATAGTGTTGAACATTTCTATGAAGTTTCATTAAAATTCCTCCATGGGTGTAGGAGATTTGCTCCGGACAAATATTGGACGCCGGCCGCCCGCTTGGGGAAAACTATAATTCAACCCGTTGATTTTTACAACTTAACCAAAAAAAAAATGAATAAGAAAATTATGAAAAAAATACATGATGAAAGAATATACCTGTTTTTTAATTATGAATTCAACGGCATATTTATGTAGCTTTACATCACAAAAGTAAACATTTACTTGAATATATTTTATGTATTCTATGGCTAAATGTATTATTACAAACAATACTGTGAAAAATTACTATGTCAAGTCTCTAAAATTGTCTGAAATGAGTTGATAATTTGTTGAGAAGTTCTTGATTATGCTAACTTAAAGCAGTATTTTATACATTTAACCACCCTTAAGCTTAGCACCGCGTAATATCAGAAAATGGTCAGACAACTTACCACAATGACTTTACTTTTTCCTAGCGGGGATGAATGACTTGTCTGTCTGAATATGGCATTCATTATCAAAGAGTAATTGATTGCGGGTGACCTTAGCGAGACAACAATGGTCTTAACTAACTATATGGGAAGTTAATTAGTATGCCATTATTACGGACAGTTCTCAATTGTTACAAAAGTACAAGATAAATGTTTGTTTGTTTGTTTCATTTTACGCCTTTTCCCAACAGTATTTCAGTCATATAGGCGGGTAGTTTCCTAACCATCGTTCCTGGAGAGTGACACCAGTACTAGACTACCTTCCTCCGTGCTAAACTACCAAAGCATCTCCCTTGGATCGAACCCACGCCAGAGAGGTAACTGGATTAGAAGTCATCGACTCTAATCCCTCGACCAATCTAAATGTAGAAATTAATGAATCTAAATTACTTAAAAATTAACGTGCACGAGTGTGAACTAAAAAAACTATAACATCATATGATACCTGGAATGCATGCATGAAATATAATACATATACAAAATTAATCGAAAATATAAGAACTTTGCTTGTATTGACGGAGAGGCAGTGAACAGCCATACAAAAATCAAACACGGTTGATATAACTATTATGTGGTATCCCAGACGACTCAAAAACGGCCAAAAAAACCTAAGTGTTGTTGATTTGTCCGATATTGATTGTGTAGAAAATAGTTAAATCAACCATTTAACATGAACTTTACCACCAGGTTTTGTAACTCATAGCAATAATATTCACCTATCGGTAAATAACATTTAACTTTCGACAATTTTAATTACGCCCTGTCTGATGTAACTATACTCCAATTCTTTGAGAAACGACGTAAAGCCAAATTACTTAAACAAAGATATATGACAAAAGGATGTTTCACATATTAGGAAATGGATTATATGAACAAATGTATGTCACAAAAACATAAATCAAAAGAAAATGCAACAATCTAAAAACAAAACAAATGCTGAAATTGTGAAGTATTTGAGGCGTGCGACAGAAACAACTTAAAAGAAATACAGAAAGTGATTTAAAAAGAAATGCTATAAAATGTAGGATAACAAAATAAAATCCAATTTTCCAGTCACACAGGACCACTGGTAAGGTACCAAAAAGACCATCGAACTTATTGATGGGAGGTGACAAAGGGTTGGCATTGAGCGAGCATACAACAGATTCCTAGTGGTTTATTGATTTGCTTTAACAAAGCTTTCTATGTATCATTTTTTTATAAACATTTAAATCTTAAAAATGCCTTAAAAGATAACTAAGATATTGATATTCCTGCCGGAGCTGATGAATCACAAATATTCCTCAAGTTCTTTTGACATTTGATCAAGCTCTTATACCTGGCACGACATGCGTGCATACAAAATGTATCCGTTTTCAAATTTACCGGAAAAACTATTTTGTTATTAAATTTTGTGTGTTTGTATGTCAAAAGGATGTCTTTGAATTATTAGTTTAAGGAAGGATTCTTAATTACATTTTCTTGAATATTAGTTTTAAAAGATGAATGTTGACTGAATCATATCCTTCGTGAAGCATTTTATTAACGTGTAGTTTGACAACGAGTTTTGTTCAATGTACAATTATTCTGAACATGAGTAAAATGCAATATAAATGGTATACGCATATTTTATTCAATATGGAACGATTGTGCAGAAATATGCCACATTAGTGATATATATATCAGTTCAAAAATCAGTCTTTAACAATGTGTGTCTCTATAGCAGCCGCCCAGCCAACATTCTATATCGGCCCAACATCAAACCGATATGGTTTTCTATGACGGCCCGATGTCGGCTTTAATCTCGGCTGCAAATATGTTGGCCCGACATCGGCAGAACAATATCGGGCCGATATCTTAACGATATAGGCCCGATATTTCTTGCCGACATCGGGCCTACATCAAAACAATAACGGTGCGATGTCAGCCAACAGTAGAAAGATATCGGTCCTATATCGACCAGGTATCATACTTATGCTAGCATGGTGATGACATCTAGCAGCAAACATTTGGCATAACCTGCAAAAACACAAAATAAAAGATAATTATTTTACAAAATAAGATAATAAAGACATATATTTTAACTTAAATGTGCAAATGACAATCACTACCATGATAATGCATGTCGCGAAATCATGTGACAAATATTTTCAAACATAATTTTACATCTAAAAAAAGAGACAAACAGATAAATTGTTTTTTTCCAATAATTTTAAGTGTAAAAATCAAATTATAAACAGCGTTTACAGATTTGTTGAATCATCATTACATTAAAACAATATGCTTTTCATCGCTTTTCCTTTGGCGCTTAATCTGTTAATTGTAGGACTGCAGTGAATATTTTCAAACTTTTCATTTAAAATATAATAAAAGAGTGATTTTTACGTAGTCAAAACATAAATATTGAATTTAATTACAAACCACATATCATTTCCAAACTCAACTATGATTATTTAAGAAATTCATATCAAAATGTACAATTATTTGCTGCATGATTTTCAATTCAACAGAAAACGCAATATCGTACCGATGTCAATCCGATATACAAAATAGTTGCATTGATAAGCCATGTAGGCCCGACGCAGACCCGATGTATCTTTTTTGATATAACACGAAACGTGGTTAATGTGGTTCTTGTAATTGAAATCATACACAGGACAATTTATTCACATTATTAAGTATAGAATGCCATTGCAATTAGAATTTTTCAAAATACTCAATCTGTCGGCACTGCAGCGGCCCGACGTCGGCCAATAGTCGGCATATTTTGCCGACATACCGACATTAATCCTATATCGGCCCGATAAGGTCATGCTGGCTGGGCGGAACATCAATTTAAATAGAATTCATTTAATATTATTAAAACTATTCAATGTTTGGTTACATATATTATTATATAGTCGTATTCATCTAGCCAAATATGTTTTACGATATATCCTTATTCATTGGATCCAAAATCGCAAATGTTGAATATAATACAATAATCATTGATAAGGTAACGTAATGTACCAAGTTTCTTTTTGATAACGTTTTATTATGTAAAATGTATAAATGATAATAATTTCATCACTTTTCTGTTTCCGCATTATGAGTTTCATGCACACAAAACAATCGCGTAAAAGAACTGAAAACCAAGGACCAAAGAACTGAATATAATGTGTAAACAACTGAATTCCACAATTTTTACAAACGATTTCAGTTTGTTCGAGTGTTCATGAGAAACAAATAAGTGCAACATCTCCCATGCCCCAATAACACCGGTGTAATCTTTGCCCAAACATCAACACGTTTTTGTAATCTATACACCCAAAGGTTTCGTATAAAAATATCATACTTTGTCAATGATATATGTCCAGTTAAAAAGTCCGAGTTATTTCGATC